TTTTTTTTTTTTTTCTTTTTGAAATTAAATTACATTTTACCTATTCCTGATCTATTTATAAATTATTAAACTAAGGATAATTTTAAAATTATGAAAGAAAATTATTATTGCCATCATGGGTTAAACAAGTCCAATATTTTATGGCTTCTATTAATTTATGAAGTTATCACTTCTGTCGAGCGTCCCATGACGCACACCATTTTTTTCAATTCAAAAAGCCCGTTGGCTTTTTCAATTTGCATTTTGTTTCAGCCCGTTGGCTATTTTTTGCATTTCGCGCATGTTTTCCGGTTTCAAATGCCCTACAGTCCTTTCCCAATCCTCCGCTTTGTTTACCCATGATGATAGCGGGCGCCCATAGAAGTACAAGGCTGACAACGCTACCCTTTTCTGGAAACTGAAGGAAAAACAAAAACTAAAATTGTAAAACTAAAAGAGGAAACCGGCCTTAGCAAATCCAGATTTTACCTTTTCCCAAACCTTCGTTTCAAGAGTGTTTTTTCCCGAAGTGAAGGATTACCCAAGTGCGGCCGAAGAAAGCATTGAAAAGGGGTGGACCTAAATTTCCCCCTTGCAAAACAGATTCGTAGTTTTAAAAAAACTTGAAAAACGTAAGAATGAATTCGCAGTCATCGGACACCCCATTTACTGGGCTGTTTAATGCCGCAACGAGCAGAAATCCTTCTGGTGGGAACAACCCAGCGCTACGAGACAAAAACATGCTTTCACAAGGATCTGCTACCAATTCCAACCGAACCTTGGTGGAAATACCAAAGCAAAGCAAAGTGCGGGCCATTCTCCGGCATTATCGCCAATGTCGTCATCATCCAGCAATTTTCATGGCTTTTCAGGTACTTCCTGACACAACACTGAATAAAACAGAATGTACGGAAGGAATGTTTATAGTTTTATAGAGAATTATAGTTGTTTGTTTATAGTAAAAAATAATTTTCTTAATTAGGTGCAAAAGTTGGTAAGCGGAGAAGTGGCAAATTTATTTCACAATTTATTTGAGAAGTGTATTTTACTGTTATATCAAACAAGGGAAAATCCAAATGATTTAATTCGTCTATACACAACCGAGAAAGTCAAATAAACTGCCGAACACGATTTATCGTTATCGAACTGTTAGAAAATAATTCCAGTCTACTTGCGGCCGTTGCGACTCTGGAAAAAATATCACTATGGATATTCCATTTGCTATTATCTTCATGCAATGACCTTAAGATAACAGAAAAAAGTCAACAAACATGGGACTGAATGTCGACAATTTTAAATGTGAAGTGCTTGAGAACAACGCCATTAAATAAATAATAGCAAGAATATAAAGTGTTTAAGTAAAATTCCGCAACAGTTTGCTCTGGTTAAAGACGATTCATCTTCTAATAATCCAAATATCAAGAA